ACAGTAGGGGCGAGAGGACCGACCCCTGAGGCACCCCACAAGTTAGGGGCCTAGGAGTCGACCTCTGTCCCCCTGCCAATACAGACTGCGTACGGTCGGTGAGGAAGGAGGAGAACCACTGCATAACAGTGCCTCCCACTCCTAACTCACCGAGACGTCGCAGCATGATACCATGGTCCACAGTATCAAAAGCCGCTGAATTCAATGTGAATTCTTTCAGGCAAAACACTTTAAAGGTTGGGTTATAGATCAATAAAGGGTAAGTAGAGCTCTGACTAGGTCAAGCTTTCAACAATATAAGACAGAAGCAGATCTTTTTGTTTAATCTGATCCCATCACGTGTAAAATAGGGAAAGCAAATCCTTTCCCTGACTATTAGTCAGTACTCTGCAGCTTCTTTCCTTAGAATAATGTTTTTCAACCTCGACAACTAGAAGATGGGTGGACTTCAACTCCCAGAATTCCCCAGCCAGCTATAGATTTGTAGTATGCTGGCTAGGGAATTCTGGGAGTTGAAGTCCATCCATCTTCAAGTTGCCAACGTTGAGAAACACTGCAGACATTTTCTTCTCCTTTCCTGTTCTTTGAGCTTCATTGAAGAGAAAAACATCTATTGGAGGAGATTGAAAAGAAGTATACTTCACCGTCAAGATTGCTGCAGGTAGGTCTTCCATTTGCCTTAAGATTCACATACATCCTTGGTTTTGTTTACATGTAGGGCAGGTCCAAATGTAAGAAAAGGCTGTTGTCACACTTTATGTATCATTTGAAGGCGGACAGCTATTAGTTTTCACTTTGGTATTAAGCATGTGTATCAAACGCACACATTTACAAATCTGAAATTCGTACTGATTAATGGCCATTAAGAAAAGAGATTTAAAAAAATTAAAAAACCACAAGGAACATGCTAACATTGTATGTATTAATAGTACAAGTACAACCTTTCAATGAATGTTACGTCTCAGTGTGAAACTGACCTGTCCAGCAATGTCAGCAAGGTGAGTCGATCATACCAGATTTTTATCCATTTGCCAGGAAATACAATAAATTTGTAAAACTGTCTATTAATTTTTCTTTGAGCTGATGAGCATGAAGAATCCTCAAGGTCTTCACTAAAATGCTGTCAACATTAAATTAAAAATAAAAGAATAGTATGTCATTTTCATAGCACTGCTTTGAATAAAAATAAGGTTTTGATATAATTTGATAGTTATTTCTTTTTCAGTGGATATAATCAAATAATGATCATGGTCAAATTTTTTTTAAGGTTAACTTTTTTTTGGTAAACTTGATTATCTTCAGTCTTGCCTAATTTTTTGCACATGGCACATACTAGGATCTTTTCACTGCCCTTGTAAGATTATTACTTGACCACTTGAAATACACTAGAACAAAACAACCTAAGTCCCCCAAGATTGCTCTTTGTGTGATGTTTAAGTCTTGCCTACAATTTGAACATAAATGGCATTAGATTTGAAAATACTGGGGAAAGCATACATACATACATACATTTGTACTGAGATAAAAAAAATTCAGAACAAAGTTGGGGTTTTTTAACTCTTTTGCTCCTTTAAAAAAATCCATCAAATCAAATTTAAAATCCCATTTTATCAGCATAAAATGTGGTATAATAGCTGATGCTTAATGGAACATTAGCTATTCTCCCATTTGTATGCTATAGCAAGCTTACACCAACCTCATTTGAAAGATGCAAGTTTATATAGCTAGACTGGAAGATATTCACAAAGTGTTTGTTTGTTTGTTTTTTAAAAATGTATAGGTGCTGAAATGTTACATGGTACCCGGTGGGTTTCAGAAAGAGCTCCCCGTGCCAGCATCAGTAAGAACTGCTGTTGCCGTGCCCTTCGCCCATGATCTCCAGAAGATGCTTCTTGGATCTCTGAGGTAGTTGTACTAGAGGAGCTGAAATGGATTTCACTGTACACATAAAGATAAAAAGAGTAAAAAGAGATAAAAAAGAGTAGAATTTATTCAAAATTATATGATTAATAACAATTTGGAGTATCTGCAGGGGTAATAAAGAAAAGTCAAGATACAACCATGAGATCAAAGCTGCCATCTTGACTTTTTTCATTCACCCACCCAGATACCCCCGAATCTATGGAAAAAAACAAGAGGCTTCAGAGTCTGACTATATTAGCTGGGGGCTCCCCACAGATTCAGGGAAAATCTGACTCCAGAAGGGCAATATGAGCGAGCTGAAATTCCTTCTACAAATGTGCCAACAACTGACTGAAGAAATTAGAATAATCCAAATAGCTCTCTTCTCCCAGTGCTTATGACACCTGTGACACTCGATAACAGATTAAACAATAATTTCATAGTTTGATCAATACCTGAAGGGTGTATAGATGCCAAGCAACCAAGCAATCATAATGGGCAAAGAAAGAGAATTTTGTTGAAGTAGGACATTTTTTTTAACTGCTTCTATCTTATACCTTTGGGATTAATGAGAGGCTTCAAGGTAAAATATAAGCAGACCCATAAATCAATCAGGCCTTTGGGTTCAGACCCAACATACCAGTCCATCATAGAGCAATCTAGAATTGCTTCAAAATATATTTTCAAAATTAAAATAGGCTGCCAAAATGTCACTGGTTTTTTTTTTTTGATTGCAGTAGCTTCAAACATTCAAAGAAATAATAATTAAATCAAACAAGCCCTGCCTTAGTATTACACATACATGAAACATAAAGATTGATTTCTAGTGAGTTTCTGTGCCGAATTGGCTAATTACAAAAAATAGAAATAATATAAAATAATAGTATACAATTATTAATACAATAAATGCAATAAAATTAATATACGTAGTTAAAAACCATTGGGAGTTCTTAACCAATATACAGAATTATTGTTGATTCACAAGTAATCTTCAAATCTTTATTTGAAAATTAGGATACCCGACATAGAAGCCAACTCAAATTCAGCTCTGGTAAAATTATGTGAATTGTCAGCTTAGCTAATATAGTGGACTCAAATAGTGGAAGCAATAGCACAGCTCGATTAACACTAACAGTGAAGTTTTAATAATGGCAATTTTAGAGAAACATTTTAAAGACCCAAGTATCATTGAAAAGAATGGGATTTATGAGTAAGCACACATAGAATTGTATTCTATGACATCCCATTTAGATTGCATATGAAATTCAAAATCCTGGAATTTTGTGAATGTAATTTGAAAGATTGTCTGGCTAATTAGTCTGTTAAAACAGCTGTATCTTACATTAACTATTGCAATTTTCAGAATAGCTTAAGATTCCAAATCAACTGAAATCTGTAGCTTACTACTATACCTCGAACACAACTTTTAATACTATTTAGACTACTTGAAATCTGGTGTGTCTAACGTGAAAAAGAAATTAATAAAATAGAAGTTAGGAAGACAAGATAAATACTTCCTATTTTTGTCCTTGTTCTATAGAAGATTTTTTTTCCCCTATGACCTTCCAAATGATACATCTGCCTAGAGTTGACTATTCTGTTAAAGATATTGACTGCCACCATGTGGCAAAGTGTTTTTTGGTTTTTTTCTTTTGCATTTACTTTCCTTTTTATTTGACTTACATGGCATGATCTGATCTTGTGCAATCCTCTCCTCCCAGATGGGATTGCAGTTCCCAGAGCCCTCAGACAAAGGTCACATTAGCCAATAATTCAGGGAATGGCAGTCCCAACATACCTGAAAGGTGTCAGAGAGGGCAAGACTGGTCTATAACAGTGTTTGTTAACTTTGGTAACTTGAAGATGGGTGGACTTCCAATTCTCAAAATTCCCCAGACGGAATTTCCAGGATTCACCAACCATCTGCTGGCTAGGGAATTTTGGGAGTTGAAATCCATACATCTTCAAGAGGACAAGACCGAGAAACACTGATGTAGAATATTAAGTGAGAACCAGTGTGGTATGGTGGTTAAGATGTTGGACTAGCACTCTGGAGACCCAGGTTCAATCTACTCTTAACACTCACTGCAGACTTTTGGCTAGTTGTCCTCGCAGTCCAACCTATCATGCAGGGACATTGATGTAAAGGAAAATGAGAAGAGGGAGCCAATACATGCCACTTTGAAGGAAACACGAGATATAAATCCAATAAACGAATTCTATTTTCTTTGCCTAACTTACTCATGATAAAATCTGAATATACTGAAGTATCTTGACATGGAGTAATGGAGTAATTATGGGGGAAATATTTGTTCCTAAAGAATTTGCAACCACAGAACTAATGTTGCACTGGCACAAAATTAAGATCTTTGTTAAATTATTTACAGGATATAACATAAAGCTTATTCCTTTACTCTTATCCTAGATATTCAACAGTTCCATTTCATAATAGAGTAGATGAGTGCTAGATAACCTGTTTGGCAAATAAGAAGTCCTAAGTTCAAATACTGGCAACTATAATTAGAAGTTGGAGAAATACTGGGATTTATTGCAGAAAATGCAAACTTGAAGCAGAAAATATCTAAATTATTATACAACAGAATCTGTCACTTGCATATGGATGTTTCATGAAAATGATATTCCCAATCTTTAATTTTGGAAAACTAAGTAACCACTCCAGAAACGAAACAGAGTCATCCCTCAATCCAATGCATGAGGAGTTTACTTACTGTGGATTGGAGATGCAATCATAGATGGGCGAATTTTCAATATTTCCTTCTGTTTGACTCCTTAAGTACAAGGACTTCATTTCTCCTTCAAATAAAAGGAGACATAATCTGTTGAGCAATGATCTTGCCATGGACTCACTTTTATAACTAGGAAATTATAAAATTAGAAGGCCAGCTTTCCAGAAATAGAAATCCTATCTTCAGGTATCCTTGTCAATGACTTGCATTCTCTCAGCTCTATCTGATAAGATAGATTTCAGCACCATTGCAGCTGCAACACAATCATTTTAAAGTGTTCCTTGCCACAGCCCTAGCCTTGGCAACAATCCTCTTGTAACTTGGCACCTGTCATCTGTCCATTTTATGTACAGGTATCTACACCTATATGCTGCATAATTTTGAAAAGCCTCCATGGTAAATCAGAACAATGGCATCTGAAAAGATGGGTGTTAGCAGACTTGTTAAAATTTAGATTTGGATGTTAAAATTTAGTTCCAGAGCGCAACACTGAAAGAAAGAGAGGGAAATCTAGAAGGACAGAAGTTTGTAGGCTGAGCTGGAACTGGGAAAATGTTAAAGGGAAGAGAGCAAGTTAAGTCCATGTGTCATTAAGAGAATATGGACTGGTGCTGCAACTAAGTATAAAAATTAGACTCTGGATGGTCTTGGGTACTGTTGGCACTGAAATTCATGCCAAAGGAGAATGCAGAAACCTCTGAAGTTATTGCCCACAGCACATTCAAATGCTATAAAGGAGAGTTTGTGGAAGAGAAACAGAAAGGATGGCAGAGAACAACGCTGGCTGTTGCAGCATCTGGAACTCAGAGTGCAAAGGGAGGAAAAGAGAAGAAAAAAGAAAGCTTGGAAGAAGGAGGAGAGGAGAGGAGAGGACAAAATGGTGGACAGTGTGGAGCAAAACAAGGTAGAAGAGTCAGGAATTGTGCCAGGAGGCTATGAAAAGGGGTGTTGTTGTGGGGAAAATAGGAGGAATTTGTAAAAATAATAAATGTGGGGAATAAATAAATGCACACATTTACATATACATGCTTGGGTTGCTTATTGGGCATATTTGAAGTGTTGATGTTAACCTTCCAAACCTTAAATGTATAGGATCTATACGTTAAAAAAAAAAAACTATCACAGAAACCTAATTGCCATGTCTCAATGGAATCTTGGAACCCATTCAGATAATTTATTTATTTATTTATTTATTGAATTTATATACCGCCCTATCTCCCTTACGGGACTCAGGGCGGTGAACAGGCGATAATAAAAACCACGATAAATATACACAAATTTCTGTTCTAAAATCAAATTAAATAACAGGCCTGCTCTAAAAATACCCCATACGAAAACCCCCCACTAAAACATAATCAAACTACGCCAGGCCGGCCGCACGGAATAGATGGGCCTTCAGGGCTCAGCGAAAAAGGCGCAGGTCCGCAACTGTACGTAGGTCGGGGGGGCAGGTCATTCCAGAGGGCAGGAGCTGCCACAGAGAAGGCTCTCCCCCTGGGGGTCGCCAGCCGGCATTGTCTGGCCGACGGCACCCTGAGGAGACCCACTCTGTGGGAGCGGACTGGTCGAAGGGAGGTGTTTGGTAGGAGGCGGTCTTGCAAATACCTAGGTCCATAATGAGTCTGAGAAATTAATCCCCATGCACATAGAAACCTAAATGAGTTATCCTGAGGAAATGCAACTATCCCTCCCAACTCCTCCACATGAGGTTACCATTTCCATCTATGAAGGAATAGATGTGCATTGCATCCAGGGACATCTCTTCTTGCACAGATGCTTCAGGCCCACTTATGACTTGCAAGAGGGAACTGTCTGGCTGCGAAGTTACCCGATAAATGATTTGTCGTTGTCTGGTGCTCTGGTAACTTGTCAAAATATCAATAAGAAAAAGAAGGGGAGAAGAAGAGTTTCAAAAGCAGCGGGTGAAATTCTTTCTCTGCCCCACCCAAGCAATTTCTCATGAAATCAAGAAAATAGATCAAATGAAATTTGATGCGAGTTCTTTTATAAGGCAATAGGGCCAATACATATTACCGTATGCTTGAAAATAAGAACATAGCTCTTACTGGGCAGTGAACTTTATTGACTCTGGGATCACTGGATTAACATTAATACAATCCTGAGTTTCCATCTCGGTTTTCTCCTGTTTACAGGAACCATGATTTTCTTTTTCTGCACAATTTTTCCCTGTTGTCAATGCACCCTCTTTTTTCTCTCTTAAAAAGCCATCTGAAAGACACAGAGAAAACTTTCCATGTACAACCTGGGAAATTTTTTTGCTTGTATTTTTGTTTCCTGAATAAAAAGATCTTGACCTCACCCCATAGAAAACATCAGACCTTTGAAAATCAATGTATGATCACATTAATTCATGCCCCCATCCCAGAGATCAAAATTAATACATTTATTGGGCCAAGCATTTACATATGATGAATGATGTCCATTGATGATGCTGAAAAGTAGCAATATCATAAGTATTAAATGAATCATCTGCTGTCTTTTCCTTTATGCTTGTATGGATTGATGGCAAAGTGATTCATATCCTGAGCCTGTAGGAAATGTGACATTAAATCTTTCCTTTTCCCTCTCTTTGATTTTACTGTCAGCTCCACTCCAAATAGGTTTTCCTTCTTCTTCCTTTTTGCTCTTTAGTCCTCATTCTTAAATTCTATACTCTTGTCTTCTTCAGACATCTCATGTTTGCATTATACTGCCCTCTTCTATCTCTGGGACAATAGATTTCTCTTTTTAAAAAATATCCTATTCATTTATTACCTGTTCTCCAGTTTAACGTAATCTCTTTAACTTCTAGCGTTGACTGTCTTAATGCTAATCCGATATTTCAACTGTTCTCTTGCTTGCTTTCAACATCTAGATCTCTACAATTCTTATCCACTTACTGTAAATATTGGTGAAAATTATTTTTCCCAGAAGTTGATAGAACCACATATGTAGAGACCTGCTGCCAATCTAGTCCAACTTTTTATGTTATTCAGCAGCCAATCAGATATATCTAGGAAATTCAAAAGCACAAACAATAGGATGGAAGCTCTCCTCCCATTTGTTCTCCACAATCTGATATGAAAAAGACATGCTATATTTAAGGAGATACTGTATTATATGCCTGAATAGAATGGAAAGACAGATCATTCACAAGTTTATGTAAAAAACCTTTAAAATCGCCTAAATTGGTAACCAGCACCACATTAAACAGCTTAACTTTATCTTCAACTTATTCATTTTGATAGAGTATCCTAGGTTCTAATATTGTAAAAGAGAAAGCCAGCTTATTTAGGAAGTAGTTGAAAATTGTTTTATAATCTATAGTTATTTTGCAATCTGTGATCAACACGTTATTCTGTTCAAAGCTGTAGAGCCATATCCCTTTCTTGCATTAGATAAATTAGAAAAGATAAATATTAGGACACAGCACTGGAAAATCTGATTTAAGAGGACTTCTGTAAAAGATACATAAATTTGTAATTTATACTTGCACACACACTTCTAAAGAATAGAATCAATTGCAAGAAGGGCTCTATCTACACCTCTGTACAGCAAACCATGAAATGTAACAAAGAATAAAATCAGCAAAGGACAATTGATATCCACCATGCAAAGAATGCACCAGAGTTGGGTAGCTCTAACAAATTTGAATGAATGAATGAATGAATGAATGAATGAATGAACGAACATTATGAAGCAGTATAGAAGTCTAAGTTTTATTGCTATTACTATTCTTAAAGCTTGAGCATTTTTTTCCTAACCCAGTAAAAGTCAGATTAAGATCAGCAAGGAGACAATGTCTTCTTAAAAACTAATCAAATATGGTACCCCATATACATCAAATGAAACTAAAAAACCCTATCCATCTTACATCAATTAAGATTTTATTGATATTTAATTATGCATGTCTTTCATGTTTAATATTCTAGAGCATATATATATACTTATTTGTGGCTATTGCTTTTAGCATGAGTGGAAACAGCTTTTATTGCACATAAATTCCTCACATTTCTTGTGTGCACTGGAAACTAATAATTTGAATTATGCAGTGTACCTCCAGCTAGCCCTTTATCTTTTGCAGGCTCTGCTTTCAATTCTGGTGCTGTTGGCTTTGAAGTGTTGATGGATTCCAGCAGTGAAACAAATTCCAAGAAATTTGATTCATTTGGTATCTGCCCTTCTTTAGCTTCCAGGTCGGATTTCGATGTGGGCATAAGTTTTTCTTTTGCACTAACAGTCTCTGATGAATTCTTACTTAAAAACACATCTGTCCCACTATCCACACTGAGAACACGAGCATGTCTCTTCTCATGAGCTGTTTTATATAAGGGGACTTCCAAATTCCACTGGCCTTCTTCTGGGTCTTCTAGAATTTCAGAAGCATTTTCAGGACACATAATTATTCCTTCATGGCTTGAGGGATTGTTTGAGGGATTGTCACTGTTTTCCTTTCCAATATTGTCTTGTTCACCAGATTCATAGCCGGAACATTGATTAGACGATGCATTGACATTTAAATTCTCTGGGGTTCTTAAACTTTCACTTACTTCTTGAAAAGCATGGCCTCCATTGTCCTCAGATAGATCAAAAGTAATGACAGGGATTATCATTGGATTGTTGCTTTGTTTACTATCTTGAACTGTTGCAGCCACAGCAGATTCTGGATCTGAACCAGATTTCTCAGCGTTCGACAATTTCATGTGAGGCAAGCCCTCCAAATCAGTAGCTGAGTTATGGGTGCTACTCATGGTGATAACTATTTTAATGGGTTCGTGTAACGTGAATGGATCTCCAGAATGAGAACTGTCCACCAGTGCAACAGCTATCTCACTTTCTGATTCATCAAACTCTGCTTTTAAGTCATCCAAATCTCTTTCTGCAAATCTCTTCGTTTCCATAGAATGGCACTGAGGGAAACTGCTTGCAGTGCTGTCTTGAGCTGATCCATCCAATAAATTCTCTTTCCTTAAACATGTAAGATCGTTTAAATTATCTGAAAAGAGGACAGGACTGTCCATACTCCAAGGCTCAAAAGAAATGTGTGTTTTTAAAATATCACACTGGGACAAGGAAAGATTTGGCAATTTTTTAACAACCACATCTTTATCCAGAGGAGCATCCTCTTCTCCACTATAGTTAGACGGTTGTGCCTTCTCTTCTTTTTCATTTGTTCCACCATTGATAACAGTCTCCATAACATTCGGCTTGTCCACTATTGCTGGTGTGGTGGAACTTGGCATACTTGTCACAGAAGCAGGCAAAATGTCAGCTTTGATGCAGGGTGAGGTCAATAATACTGTTGGGACAGGTTGTTCTTCTGAAACCAGTACTCCTAGTAGAAAAAGACAAAGAGATACTGCATGTCAAAGATATATGAAGCTTTCTCAGAAAAGACATTCCAGAACATTCTTTAAAATTAGCAGTTAATGTGCAGTTAAATCCCATAGCTTGGAATGGAGAGTGGATATGCCCCAATTTACTTTGACAGCACCTATTCTTTTCTTGAGCGTTAGAATCTACAAAAAAACAATATAGATCAATAAAAAAAATCATGAAAATATGTTCAGTATGTAACATTATTTTTAAAGGTAAAAACCATTTATTTATTCAGTTTCTATAGCTACCCATCTCAGTCAGTGAGTGGCTTCAAAATAAAATAAAAAAAAAATATTGCTGTTAAAAATGCTGAAAACATTTTAAAACAATAAAAACACTAAAAATATCCAGATTAAATATATATAGGAGCAAGATACTTGGCCAATTACCAAGACAGCCAGGAAACAGATCCCTTAACACAGTGGTGGCAAACCTATGACACGCGTGCCAGAGGCGGCACTCGGAGCCCTCTCTGTGGGCACACACACCATCGCCCCAGCCCTGCCTCCTCCCATAGCCCCCTCCTCGGGCATGGTCCACTGCAAAGCAGTGCAGGCAAGGACATGGTAGCCAGGCAGCGGGGACAAGACTCCACCCTTGCGCCCCTGTCGCGCACAGATGATGCTGCAGGGCACGGGCGGAGGGCGTGGCTGCCATGGTGCTGCTGGGCTGCCTGGGTGATCTGTGGCGGGCCATGGAGGTGGTGGGTGGCCCAGCAGGCATGGCGGAGCGGGAACAAGGGTGGGGTGGGTGGGTTTTGGGCACTCAGTCTCTAAAAGGTTCGCCATCACTGCCTTAACATATTCAGCATTTAGAAAGCAGATATTCAAATATATAAATATTTCAGTTATTACGGTAAGGACACTAATTCAGAGGCAGGAGAAACAACAAAAAATAACAAAGTTCATTTCTTCCACATAACATTTATTCTGTAATCCTTAATAATTGTGTGGGATTGGGCTGTAAACGCCATGAAATTCAGTAGGACTTCATCACTAGGTAACCTGGTAGCTCTGCACAACTCCAAAAGACTAAAGCCAGGGAGGAGTTATTAAAAAAAAAAATCTAAAGAATTCATGAAGAGACAAGATAAACTGAAGATCCGATCAAACTGAGAAACATTCCCGATAATGTAAGAAATATAAACAAATGTAATTCATATTCTTTAAGGAGGACTGATTCATAAAAGGGGCTGTGATGTTTTAAATCAGCTAAGAAATATAAATCTATTTAGCTTAAAATGTAATTGTTCATTGAAAAGATACCCTTAAATTAAATAAATAGTGTGAATAAACTATAACCAGGCCTGAGAAGTTGCCTGTTCTTTAAATCAGAGAAGTGTTTCTGCTGTACTTCAGCTCTTTTGAACTAAAGTTCCTATATACCACCACTGAGCATGCTCATTATAGAACCGGGTAGGCGACTGTGGTCCCTTTATAACCTGTGGACTTCAATTCCCAGAATTCTTGAACCAAAAAGGCTGCTTCAGGAATTCTGGGAGGTGAAGTCCACAGGTTGTAAAGAGGCCATAGTTGCCCACCTCTGCTATAGAATGCTGTTTGTAGCATACCTTTCAGATCTTCGATGGTTTCTTGAGCTGGCAGATTCTGAAATGAAATATATCAATTAAAATGATGTGAACTGTAAATGTGTTTTAGAGCAACAAATAATGTAATTATGTTCCATGTTCCATTAAACCAATGGCCCCAAAATTAATGAATAAAATCATTGCATTTGAATATACAACATCTTTCAGCTATCTTTCCAAGTCAGCTTGCCAGACAACCACATTTACAAGAAAGTATGAGGTATTGATAAGGAATTGGGTTATATGTTTTGTTCAGACTGTATTTCACATTAAAGAAAGACATTACCAATGGAAGAGAATATTTTTGGCTCAGAGTTGAACTGTGGGGTGCACTGATATTACCTAGTTGGGTGATGAAATGTCTGCAAGAAAACAAGCAGGCTCAGAGAGCACCAAGGATCCCCACAGAAAGAAATTAAATAATTCTGACTAAAACTGAAAATTATAAGACGGGGAAGGAGATTATTCCTGCTGATTGATGCAGAGCTTCTACTATGATAGAGAACTAATGCGGTGAAATAGTTAAAATATTAAATATGGACCAAGTTATCCCAAGATGTTTCCATTGAAACATGAAGCTTCTTGCTACCTGACGTTGGGCTAATCACTCATTGTCAGACCAGCCTCCACTTTATTTAAATATAAATAAAGCTTTTGGATTTGTTCTGTCACAAGACAAAGCACCTTTGTGAAGAAGCAGAGGACTTATTAGACCAAGTACCAGATTCAGCTTAACGGTCCCCTGCGTTTTCCCACTCACTGAATACTCAATTCTCAGCGTTGATAACATTTTTCCACAAGGCCCAAATCCAAGAATTTTTTTTTTCAATTTCCCTGTTACTTTCAATAATCATTTAGAATTTAGGGCCATCATACTTTCAAGTTTACTTCTAGAGCAGGGGTGTCAAACTGCCAGCCTGCGGGCTGGACGCGTCACGCGGAAGCCGCGCCCACCCCATTGCCGGCAGTGGCAAAACTGTCCCGATACGTTGCGCAATGTCACGTGACGTTGCGAGTTTGACATGTCTGTTCTAGAGTAATGACCAAAATGAAAAGTAATTGGAGTTTCATGAATGTCATGAGAATAAAATTCTACTCCCTTCTCTACTCTTAGTGGAATGAAACAAAATGTATCATAACAGCTTCCCTGTTCATCTATGGAGATTTTCAGTCATCCAGGCTATGGTTGACCCAAACGTGCTTTTTCAGGAGGCAACTGGACTTTCTTGTTTTTTTCTTTGAAGATGTTTCGCTTCCCATCAAAGAAGCTTCTTCAGCTCTGACTGGATGGTGGGGAATGGGAGGATATATATTTCTTGCAGACAGCTGGTCATTTGCATTCTTTTAGAGCAGGGGTCTTCAAACTTGGCCCTTTTATGACTTGCAGACTTTAACTCCCAGAATTCCTCTTCCAGCATGCCTGGCTGAGGAATTCTGGGAGTTGAAGTCCACAAGTCATAAAACGGCCAAGTTTGAAGACCCTTGTTTTAGAGCAGGGGTGTCAAACTGCCATAGCGAAACCGCAATGGCAAAAAAGTTGCGATACATCGCAACACGTCACATGACGTTGCGAGTTTGACACCCCTGTTTTAGAGAGTCCTTGTTCTCTAAAAGAATGCAAATGACCAGCTGTCTGCAAGGAATATAAATCCTTCCATTCCCCACCATCCAGTCAGAGCTGATGGGACGGGAAGCGAAACATCTTCAAAGAAAAAAAACAAGAAAGTCCAGTTGCCTCCTGAAAAAGCACCTTTGGGACAGCTTCCGTGTTCCTGCTTCTTTCCAGGGGCAACAGTTTTCTGACATGCAGAACCTTGGAGTACAATGTATATATTGTTTTATTAAGAAAAAGGAAATGGTGGGAGCAGGCTGTTCTTTTTAAAATAAAACCCATATTGTCAGTGCTTTTTTTCAAAAAAAAAAAAAAAGTCCCGGAACTCACACATGTCATACAACCCGCCTTGCCTACCCTACAAGGTTCCATCCAAAAAAGGTGCCGGAACTCCGTTCTGGGCGTTCTATGAGAAAAAAAGCCCTGCATATTGTATTTGTTGTTGTAACCAATGGCATATATAGAGTGAAAAATACTGGAATATTATAAATGTTTACCAACCAGGTTTCCCGAAGGGTAATGAGAGAGGATAGCCTGCCCTTTGATGCTACTGTGGATAGTGGGTGTTGAACCATTATGCTTGGTCTCCTCTGCACCATTGTCCCTTGTGTTACTGCTGTTCAAAATAATGCAAATGAAAGAAAATTACTGATCATTAATAGATAAGGAATAAATCATTCTCAAAGGTGCTGCATTTACTACAAGCTGATTCAGAAATGCCATTAACTTTCTTAAGGGGCAATCTGAAAAATGTGCCGACTTGGCTCTAGGTAAGTATGGTATTAAGTAATCTAGGAAGACCCAGCTATCATGGAGAACAAAAGCTTTGTATGGAGAAGGTTCACATCCCAGCATTTCTTGCTTCAAATCAGGGTTAAACTGTGGGGGGCACTGATGATGTTACCTAGTTGGGTAATGAAATGTCTGCAAAAAAAAAACAAAAAAACAAGCAGGCTCAGAGAACATCAAGGACCCCACAGAAAGAAGTTAAATAACTCTGACTAAATACTGGAAATTATAAGGTGGGGAAAGATATTATTCTTGCTGATTGATACAGATGCTCTACTATGATGGAAAGCTAATGCAGTGAAAAAGTTAAAGTGTTCCCATTGCAGTCAACACTGACCTAAAAATACTAGCTGTTTGATTCATGTAAGGCATGAATCCTTTGAATCCTATGAATCCTTTAGTTTTAAAAAAAATATTCTCATTTTGCTTCTTGTTATTGGACATAATGAACCCTGCTGCAAACAGGGGTGTGCATAGTATTAGAAATATGACAGTAGTGCCAATCAATTATTTTTCAGGGAATAATTTTATTCTTTTCCTAAATAGCTGTTTGTTTGCCATGATCAACAAACATGACTGGATAGATTTCCAGCATCCATTTGATCCCATGATCCCATTTGATCCCATTTGATCCCATGTGACTCTTATCACATAGGTGATGTGCATATTTCATATGGCTGGCTCAGGAATTCTGGGAGTTGAAGTCCACGAGTTATAAAAGAGCCAAGGTTGCCTACCCCTGGCATATTTTAAGAAAACACAGATTCTGCAGAAGGGGTTCAGATAACACCAAACAGCCTTGTATAAAGAAGTAGACTTACCTGAGATTTTTATGCTGAATTGCATTATCTCTTTTACATTTTTTATTTTGTTTCCCTTCCTTACAAGGGAGCTTTTGTTGAATCATCTCTCCTTTGTCAAACATCAGGTGCAGGCGATAAGTGATCACCTTTATGATCATGAAAAATAAGGTCACAGAACCACAGTAGATGACAGCCATGATAGTAGTGGGGGGGCATGCCTAGACAAAAGAATAATGAAAAGTCAAGCTTAATACTGTTGTGCTTTTTTAAAAATAACTACAATTATGTAGCTGATATTTGCCTTGTTCCTTTGCTAATTGTTTGAAATGTGTCATCTGTAGAAGCCTGTAAGATACAGTTCAGGTTTTAGAGAAGAAAGCTGAGGCTGCAATATAATCACTTGCTAATAGAATTCATGGCTGGTGAGTGGATCAGAGATTATAAGTCAATATGCTAGTCATATTATCATTTTTCTTTAATGTTAAGATATTATGTTTTGTATTTATTTCATATTTAACTTTTTGATTTAACTCTCCAAAAATAGCGTGCATGCATGCATGTGTAGGTGAAAGAAACTTTACTTTGCGTGTTAACATTGTAAATCAGACCTTAGGTACTGTATAGCCAAGACTGAAAGAACTACCCATTAACTCTTTATATATCCAGTTTAATTTTTGTTAGGCCGCACAGGACCTGAAGAATATATATATATATATACATATATTTGGTGTTTGAGACTTGCTGTGGGAGCAAAGCAGAATCAATTCAAAGTTCTTTAAGAAGGGTCAGAAATATATTTTTATTACAATTAAAAATAAAGCCATCACATGTGATAAACTTTCCAGATCCCTTTTCTGGTCACTGCTTTTTGTCTCTTAAATCCACCCTTTACACCAGGGGTTCTCAACCTGGGCAACTTTAAAGACTTGTGGACTTCAACTCCCAGAATTCCTCAGCCAGCAAGCTGGGAGTTGAAGTCCACAAGTCTTAAAGTTGTCAAGGTTGAGGACCCCCGCCTTACACCTTTCCTCTACATCAGTGTTTCTCAACCTTGACAATTTTAAGGCATGTGGACTTCAACTCCCAGAATTCCACAGCCAGCATTGCTGGCTGTGGAATTCTGGGAGTTGAAGTCCACATGCCTTAAAATTGTCAAGGTTGAGAAACACTGCTCTACATCCAGCAATTTGTCACGTCCTCGGCTTGTATATGGCAACAGATAAGAAGGCAACATGTGCCTCTTTCCCCAGATCAGAGGCCTACCGTTGGACCCCCTCATCCTCTTCTTTCCCCGTGTGCCCAGACCTCCCGCCGGCCGATCAGACTCACCAAGTGCAGCGCCATGGGCAGAAGCAGCAAGAACAGCCAGAGGTAGAGATGGCAGCTGTTAGTGAATTTACTTTGCTCCGGATCGTGGTACCAGCCTCCGGTCAACGCCGCCCATACTCCCTGCCGGAGCAGCTGCACCGCTTGGGATACCATCGTCAAGCCGTGCACGGAAAAAAAAAGGCCGCCGGGCTCAATCTCCTTGCCGTTGCTTGGGGCGGCGGGAGCGGCGGCTCCCCCTGGGAAGATGCTTCTCGGCGCCGGGCATCACCTCAACCTCCATGCCGGATGCTAGAAGGATTTTCCCATCATGCTGCGGGGAGCCCAATCCACCAACCGTGTCTCCTGCCACCCAAGGATGCAAAAGCAAAGCAGAGGCGGTGCCCTTCTCGACTCCGCCCTCCGCCCCCCCCAAAAAAAATCTTTCTAAAGACAGATTGCGCTGCTGCGGGGGGGGGGGGGGGACAACACGCCGCTATGGTTGAAGCGTATTCCGTGATTGAAACGTATTGCCCCTTCTGTGTTTGTGTCCCGTTTCCTTGCTAATATTTTGCAGCCCTTAACTGTACCCGTCAACATATGCTTCGCGTGTGTGTCGAGCTGCAAATCCCATCATTCCCCGGCACACGGTTGCTGGAGGGCGCCAGCTTGGAGAACACCTCTATCCTAATCCTTCCTCCCTCCCGGATCTTTTCAGCTACCGTCCCCAGATGTACCTCTCTAGAATCGGTTCAGCTCAAATCATCTCCCCAGAGCAGGGGTAGGCAACCTTGGCTCTTTTATGACTCGTGGACTTCAATTCCCAGAATTCCTGAGCCAGCCATGCTCAGAATTCCTGAGCCAGCCATGCTCAGGAATTCTGGGAGTTGAAGTCCACGAGTCATAAAAGAGCCAAGGTTGCCTACCCCTGCCCCAGAGATAGCATTTCTCCCTCTCCGCCTCCTATCTTGAGAAAATTACTAATAGCTAGAAAGCAAGCCTGCCTCTACCTCAGCACAGTAGGCTAAATTGGTTTGGAGCAGGAAACTAAACTAGGATCAGATTTCAGGAGAAACGTCCAGGGAACTCCAGAATCTGAGGCTCGACTGAGAAATCTTAAGCACGTCAGAAGACGGCAGGGGCAAAACCACTTCCGTACTGTGGCCAAATTACACGGGAGGTGCCATTTAAGTCTCGGGACTCCAGCTCGCCCGGACAGCTGTCTCTGTATGAAGTGGGAGGATTACTACATTACTTCGTGAGAGAGTGGGGGGGGGGGGAGAGAGACGAAAGGAAAGGTGGAATTGTGCGAGAGTGTTATCATCACTAGTCGGGTTTTCCCCAAATCTTGAGGTGTTGGACTAGAAGACTTAAGAGGTTGGACTAGAAGACCTCCAAGGTCCCTTCCAGCTGTGTTATTCTGTTAGGTATAGATCAGGGGTAGGCAACCTTGGCTCTTTTATGACTCGTGGACTTCAACTCCCAGAATTCCTGAGCCAGCATAGCTGGCTCAGGAATTCTGGGAGTTGAAGTTCACGAGTCATAAAAGAGCCAAGGTTGCCTACCCCTGGTATAGATAATGGGGGAAGAAACAACACTCCCACAAATCAATCCCGAAGTTATAACGACGGAATTTGCGCGCTGAGTGAGAGTCAGCGCTGAGTCTTGCAGGTGTCGAATTGCAACTTATGCTCCGGAACAAAACAATAACTCTTCTCCCGTTTCTGAAAATGCAGAGGCCCGTTTTAACTGTTCTCGCGTGGGGGGAAACACGGAGACTCCTGGCTGGATACCGTAATTAAAAAATAAAAACCGGAGAAGTCAGCTTAAGTTACCTATTTGAGATATCTATATTAACAATCTAAAGACTACACTAAACCCTGCACCAAAATTATGAATCGCGAATGCAATGCAAAGCAGAGTCCTTAACTTTCACGTGTGTGTGGGAAATGGATTTAAAAGCGAAGAACTACAAAGCCAAGGCATGCTGGTTTTATGTCCTTCCATCCACCGCTAGGAGGTGCCATTGAAAAGGTTTTCAGCCAATTAAACAGCAAGGAGAACTGCTCCAGTTAATATGTCCAACACAAAGCGTTAGTTTCCAGTGCTTTAATGTGTAAGTCTTCTCTTTCCTGCTGTGTTTAAAATTTGAAAAGAGTGTTATGGTTTTAACAATATGCAGTCCTGTCCCTTCTTGGTGTCTTTGGTGATTTGGAATTAAGAACATGTCTTAAATTACACCATTACATAACCATTTTTTGAATATTCTGTTACATATATGCTTTTAATTGTATTTCTTTCATGGCTCCTTTAAGTAGCAAATTCTTGTTATGATGCCAATTTATTAAACACAGCATTATGGCTAAACCAAAGGCAATATATTAAAAAAAATGTATATTGCTCTGCTTCCTTCTCTCTCCCTTCTTCCCTAACAAGGTCAGCTTGTTGGAGTAACTCACACCCCTCATACTCCAAAGTTACTTTGTTGCATCCCAAAGAATGCTCATAATTGAATGATCTACTAGGAATGATACCCTTGCCTCATTTAGAGCGCCTCATTTCTTTATTGGTTGTAAAGCAATTCTGTTGGGGTCTTCTTTGGGTATAGAGCAATGATGGCAAACCTTTTAGAGACCAAGTGCCCAAACTGCAACCCAAAACCCACTTATGCATCGTCGGGTGCCGGGTGGGTGTGGCTCATTGAGTGGGCATGGTTGCGGTGGTAACGGCAGACTGTGTGGGACTAAAAAGTTCAATCAATCAATTCCAACTTTGAAAGATCTTTTTTTTTTCCCACGAGAAGTTGAAATTGACTGATTGAATCTTTTTTTTTTTTTTTTTTTNTCCCGTTTCTGAAAATGCAGAGGCCCGTTTTAACTGTTCTCGCGTGGGGGGAAACACGGAGACTCCTGGCTGGATACCGTAATTAAAAAATAAAAACCGGAGAAGTCAGCTTAAGTTACCTATTTGAGATATCTATATTAACAATCTAAAGACTACACTAAACCCTGCACCAAAATTATGAATCGCGAATGCAATGCAATGCAAAGCAGAGTCCTTAACTTTCACGTGTGTGTGGGAAATGGATTTAAAAGCGAAGAACTACAAAGCCAAGGCATGCTGGTTTTATGTCCTTCCATCCACCGCTAGGAGGTGCCATTGAAAAGGTTTTCAGCCAATTAAACAGCAAGGAGAACTGCTCCAGTTAATATGTCCAGCACAAAGCGTTAGTTTCCAGTGCTTTAATGTGTAAGTCTTCTCTTTCCTGCTGTGTTTAAAATTTGAAAAGAGTGTTATAGTTTTAACAATATGCAGTCCTGTCTCTTCTTGGTGTCTTTGGTGATTTGGAATTAAGAACATGTCTTAAATTACACCATTACATAACCGTTTTTTGAATATTCTGTTACATATATGCTTTTAATTGTATTTCTTTCACGGCTCCTTTAAGTAGCAAGTTCTTGTTATGATGCCAATTATTAAACACAGCATTATGGCTAAACCAAAGGCAATATATTAAATATATATATATTGCTCTGCTTCCTTCTCTCTCCCTTCTTCCCTAACAAGGTCAGCTTGTTGGAGTAACTCACACTCCTCATACTCCAAAGCTACTTTATTGCATCCCAAAGAATGCTCATAATTGAAAGATCTACTAGGAATGATACCCTTGCCTCATTTAGAGCGCCTCATTTCTTTATTGGTTGTAAAGCAATTCTGTTGGGGTCTTCTTTGGGTATAGAGCAATGATGGCAAACCTTTTAGAGACCGAGTGCCCAAACTGCAACCCAAAACCCACTTATGCATCGTCGGGTGCCGGGTGGGTGTGGCTCATTGAGTGGGCGTGGTTGCGGTGGTAACGGCAGACTGTGTGGGACTAAAAAGTTCAATCAATCAATTCCAACTTTGAAAGATCTTTTTTTTTCCCACGAGAAGTTGAAATTGACTGATTGAATCTTTTTTTTTTTTTTTTTGTACATGGCGGCGGAGGCCTAAAGCAAAAAGGTTTTATAAAACCCAGCTGAAGGCCTAGGACTGGGGCGATGGCACGCATGCCCACAGAGAGGGCTCTGAGTGCCGCCTCTGGCACCCGTGCCATAGGTTCGCCACCACTGATATAGAGTACATATATGCTCACATTTGCTTTGATCTACACACTGTGTCACAGAATAGAACTAACATGGAAATAATGTTGTTGTTTGGATCTTCTACAGTTATTAGTCTTTTTTTAGATGAGCTTTTCACCCTATGGCTCATCTTTGAAATAATTATTTTACTTAAACTTGTTACAAGTGTGCCTGCTTCTTCTCTCTTCTTTCTGAACAACTCACTCCTACCTCATTTATCAACCAGTTGACTCAAATCCAGAAAGTCCCCACTGGCACTTGCATAATATCTGCTCAACAACTTTAACATCGATTCCCAATGAAAAGCTAAATGAGTGGCTGAACGTCCAGACACAGGAAGGCACATAAATGACCCCATGAAAAGTGTCAGGCTTTGAACTAACATGCCAGCAATGGACAATCCTGAATAGGATTTGCACTTCACATGGTGTCTGCCAGGACTCATTGTATAAATGGGGCATAGAATCCTCCCCTCAGTGTGACTGCGGGGTCCCACATCAAACTGTAGATCACATCGTGATTGGTTGTAAGCTGAAGGCATATAAATGATGCTGTACTTCAATGGTTAGATGGCCTAGACCAGGGGTAGGCAACCTTGGCTCTTTTATGACTCGTGCCCGTATACAGGTCGAGCCAGCATAGCTGGCTCAGGAATTCTGGGAGTTGAAGTCCACAAGTCATAAAAGAGCTAAAGTTGCCTACCCCTGGCCTAGACATTGGTATTTGGACATATATTTTTTTTAAGATTTATATTTATTGTGTTTTATTAATCTAGATGAAAATCTAGATGAAATACATATTGCTAGCCCATGTATGATATGACATATGCTAAATAAATCAATCTGTACAGGCTTTAAAATTTTTCAAGATTTGAACCCCATCTTCATCCTAGGTTCAAGTCTGTTTGCTTCTACAAAATAGAGATCTGCGGATATATGTTCACCATCATCTGTTCCCATCCAAGCTTCAGGTCTCCAGCATAACTGATATCCAATCTATGGATTCCTGAAGATCTTACATACTATTAGTGGAAATTTTAACACTTTATTAGTT